CACTATACATGCTAGCTACGGCCCTGATTAATCCAATAATGTATGGTTCAATTCTTCCTGTTACCACCCCCCCCCCCAGGGATTTGCGGATTTTTTATTTCAAAAATGTCAATTCCCCACTCCCAGGCAAATAAAGAACGCCAATTTCCCACCCCAGGGACAACATTCACAAACCATTATTGGACACAAACACATTATAAATAAAAATTTTACAAAATTAATGTCAACCTTCGAATTCACTTGCAGGATGCATTTTTCTTGCCACTCTCACTTGTCCTACCTTATTAGGGAGTGGTCATTATTTATGGGGAGGGGGGGGGGGGGTGGGGGGGGGAAATAAGGATTGAAAACTTTTTTGATCCCCCCCCCTCCAGACTAAAGGTAAACTTTTTGTGCCTCCCCCCTCATAAAAGTAGAAACTTTTCTGACCCCCCAATGAAGTTCTTATTCAACAGTTTTTCCTAATGTATTCATAAACGTATTGTAAAATGTTAAATACAGTCAAATTATTGAAATTAATTCATTCTCACTACTTTTTGTGAAATCTCCAGATTTTTTGTTACTAGAGAAGAAAATCTCCAGATTTTTTACTCTCTCAGGTTGGCAGATCTGAAATTGGGTTACCACAAAATCAGCTTCGCTGTAACCGGGGTTTACCAAAACAAAAACTTGTCAGGAAATACTGCATGTCCATATACTGCATGTCCAAATAAATTGTAAAGTAACCCAAATAGATCACAGAACGTGTAAAGAAAATTTAAAAATTACAGTTATTAATTATGGAATTAAGAGATTACAGAGTTACATTACTTTAGGGAAACCAAAAATTTTAGGTTACCGCAAAACAAAGTTTGCGGCAACGTGGCAGTAACCCAGGTTTGGTTACTTCAATTTTGGACAGCCTGATGTAAATTTTATACATTTATTCAGACCTAACCAGCCAGAGTAGCTGTAAGTTCCAAACGCAGCTACGCTTATTTAGACGTAATGCATCTATCAATGTTAAACCGAATGACTTTTATTAAAACATAGTATTTATATTTGCAATTTATTGCAAAATGGTTGACCAATATTTATTGCCCGACGGTGTGGCATTTGATTGAAAATTTGCTCAAAAAATCAAATGCCCCACCTATGCCCGACCTCCCCCCCCCCCTCAGGGGCTTAACATTGATAGGTGCATAACCAGGAGCTGTCCATGTGTCTTGTTAACAGTTGCATTGAACTCTAATTTATTATTTTATTCTGTTTATAAATGGCAGACAATTTTACTTGTCAAGAGGAGAGCAGTGGATCTCAATGGGTTAAAGCTGTATCATGCAGAAGATGGTCGACAACTGACAGTTATGCACCCATCAATGTTAACCCTGGTCGGGCAAAGGGTGAGGATTTGATCAAACAGGTGGTCCCATGGGTCGGGATTTGGACTGACACTTTTTTCTAAGTGGCCTGATGGTGGGGATTTTTGACAGATTAACACTGATCTCAATTTTAGAACAAACTCTGACTCGTCCCCAGTCGCCCGCGTTGTAACTGCATAGTTGCCAACCCTCCCACATCCTGCGGCAGGCTACCGCATTTGATCACTTTCCCCGCAAGATATTATAAACTCATTTCTATATAAACTATCAGATATTAGTATAATTACATAGGTGATTATTGAAAATTCTCCACGCTGATTGGTTGCCGTTGAGGTGATTATTACGCGATAATCACCTAAGCGATTTTCAAAATGGCGGCCGAAGCCTTTTTGTCAATTAAATGACGAAGAAATGTGTATTTATTTATTTTTTCCATATAATCACCTATGAAATTAAACTAAAACAATTATTCACCTCAGGCTCGGTGATTATCGTGAATAAAAACCTCGACTTCGTCTCGGTTTTTATTCACCGATAATCACCTCGCCTTCGGCGAATAATTGTTAATTATAAACTCACTTCACGTGACATAATATGGCTGACATGATTTGCCGCAAGGTATATGAATGATTAATGAGTATTTTAAAGTTATTTTGAAACGTTCTTTATATTTGTTATACTTTTAAGTTATACCGCCAAATGTATTTGTGTAATTTCCCTATCACCTGACATATAGGGCCCACAGTAATTGGCATATGCTGTTGTGGTGACCCTGCCCTAGTTGGCAAAGCTAAATAAATAAATAAATATAGAGTGCACCAGTTCTACCAAATACTTCAGGAATACAATTTCATCCCGGGGGTGGGGAATTTTTCCCAGGAATTTTCTCCCGAGGGAGTGGCATTTGACATTTTTTTTGTAAAAATGTCAAATCCCCACCCCTTGACCGACCTCTCTTCCCTCGGGGTTAACATTGATAGGTGCATTACCATTATATACAACATTTCCGAAGTTGAACACCATCTGTTGTTGCAAAAATATAGTTTTTTGTAACTATCGATTGACCAATGTCAATCGATATCAATTAAGTAATTAATATCGATTACCATCGATTGATTGATTGGATTTCCGATGATCGGTTTTCATCAATTAAGTACGCAGGGCTTTATAATAATATACATACATTTGCGTATTCTTGTTGTCAGATCCATTGCAAAATATATCTAGTAGGAAAAACATCTTTTAAACACCGTCATAATCTACACATTTCCCTCGAGTACGTCTTGACAATACTAAATTCGAACCTTTCTTTTCAAAATTTTCTGTTTCACCTTCCGGGCCTTCTTGGAAAATATACATTTGAGCCCACAGTATTTTAGTTCAGAGGTATAGCATAGAAACTTCGTGTAGTACTAACATATGGACTATGGTAATGAGGTTAATGAGGTATTCAATGGCATCAACTATTTCGCTGACCTCAGAAGTCTCAGAATGACATTTTGTCATAACTTTTTTCTTCAAGATTTGTTTAGAAACAAATTTGGAGCAGGGTTAAATTAGGATTACGGTTATAGTTTACGTTTTGTCACTCTAAGGTCAGTGAGATTACTCTTCCGTATTCAATGGAGTATTGGGGTACTTTATTACCATGGGCCCGTGGCTTTCTGGTCAGCACTTATTTCCAGCAACCAAACTGACGTGCTTATCTCTGGAGGTATGAACTATGATAGGCCATGATAATGAGGTATACAATGGAGTACTTTATTATAACGAAAATGACATGACATCATTTCGGAAGATGGAAAAGGTGTTAAATGGTTATGTAACTAACCTAAACCATACCCCAACTCTAACCCCAACTCTAACCCTAACCCTAACCAAAATAATAAAATAAATAAAAAAAGAATCAACTTTAGAAATAATCAAATGGGAAACGAATGAAAAGCATAAAGTACACACGTAAAACACACAAGTTGTAACAAACCTGCAGCAGATTCGTAGCAATACTGTTCCAACAACTTGTCAACAGGATGTGTTCGCACTGCTAGCTTGTTCCCAGCTTGTTGGCAACTCGCTACGAGGTTGTTGAGGAATGACATTTCGGGGCTTCAAATTTCAAAAATTTTCTGGAGGAGTAAGTATTCCCCCAGACTCCCCAATTCATGCGTGTTTAGAGGGGGACAGCCATGAGCGAAGGCCACGTGCATGCATGTCGGCCATGCACGTGGCCTTTGGTCATGGCTTTCCCCTCTAATATATTATCTCACACAAAGGTCTCTTCTCAAAAAATGCCCCCCCCCCGGGTAAATCCTTAAAAAAGGCCCTGTGTTGTGGTTTGTGTCTGAACTACGTTTGAGATATCTTTTTCAGGTAGTTCAGAAACAAACCACGGCAGCTTATTGTAGATTACTACCTACACTGGACCATCACGTTTGAGATATCTTTTTTCTGGTAGTTCAGACACAAACCACGACAGTTTATTGTAGAATATTAAAACTGTCTGTAGCAGTGTAGGTAGTACCAATGTGAAAATGCTGTGCTGAGTGGTTATATTACTACCTTTAAAAAACACTGAAGCAGAAACTCGACGTTTCGAGCGAAGCCCCTTCGTCAAGAGTTACTAACTCTTGACGAAGAGCCTTCGCTCGAAACGTCGAGTTTCTGCTTGTTTTTTAAGGTAGTAATATAACCACTCAGCACAGCATTTTTATTGTAGAATATTACCTACACTGGACCACCACGTTTGAGATATCTTTTTCAGTTGGTTCAGACACAAACCACGACATGGCAGATTATTGTAGAATACTACCTACACTAGACCACCAGTTTTGGAACCCCGTTATTGGAGAACTAATCTCTGTGTGGTAATTCCAGCCATGTAATCTATTGTGTGTAATAGTTTGTGTTAACTAATTTTGTGTAATAGTTTGTGTTAAATGGCAAAATCTGTAAAATAAAAACAATAAGCGGCCGTGGTTTGTGATTGACTGAAAGACATCTCAAACGTGGTGGTCCATTGTAGAAAGTATTCTACAATAAGCTGTCGTGGTTTGTGTCTGAACTATCTGAAAAAGATATCTCAAACGTGGTGGTCCAGTGTAGGTTGTATTCCATATAGTTATTGTTGGGTTTTGTACCGTTGCCATCGCTCTTTCTCGAATACGAAGCACAACATGCAACTTTGGAGTTTTACAAAAGAATGAATTTAATAAAAATCATACATATATATACAAGATTATATCTATAATAAGTATTTTGACATATCACATTCTATTACCATAAATGGTATACAGTTTGGTACATGGAGCAACTATTTGTACTGGAATTTGTGGTGTCCAGAGATTACATTTTACATACATATCTATAGTAATCAATGTCATTCATTAACTATAATCTTATTATTATTGTCAACAGAATATCAGGGGCATATTCTAACAGTTATCAAGAAAATCGAAATAAATGAATTAATAAAAAACTATATTAAATCTTGCACAAATTTCGGAAATTTTTTCTTATCATCTTTAACATTGATATGCTCGAATTTGGAAAACAATAGCTGCAGCAAAAAATTGTCAGTGTTTTCTAATTTGTATCTTTCTCCAATAGAACATCCATTAATATTATACACTGAGCATAGACAATCCAGAACAGTCAGAAGAAATGTCTTTTGGATTGTCTGTGCTCTGAATTACGACCAGCTACGTACCATCCTGCCATTCGTTGGTTGAGCTCTGATGTTATACTTGTTATTTACATGAGTGCCATAGTAAAGTAAGCAGCATATATACACGAGTCTTTGTCAACAATATATAACACAATTGATAATATAATAATTAAGACTTTTATATGCGCTTTACAAGAATTGAAATAAACATATAAGATAGTATTAATTAATTAATACAACTAATCTATTTACATGCATACATTGCTCTTAAGATAATTAATCTACTTAAACATTGAAAGCAAGTGAGTCTTTAAAATATTCTCAAAACTTGTAAAATTGTAGTTATAAAAACACCTTGCATCTTAGCGTAAAATTGCTAAGGCTGTAGTGGTGTATTTAATCTCTGAATGTTCTTGTACCAGATTACCTAACGGACATATTTGTCGATCGCAGTAACGTTACAAGTTATACATTGGGAGACACCGGAGGCAAATTAGCTAAATTTACCTCAACCACCCATTGAAAAATAGTTTTAGCTACAGTGGTGCGGTACTGTGGAACACCCCTCCAGCCGAGATACGACAAGCTAACACTTTACGTAAATTCAAGTCTGACTGCAGCAACTTCAAACGATCATTTTCAAATTTGTATCTTTATATTAGTAATTGCAGGGCACTCATTGAAAACAGGTACTTTTATAAATGTATATGTATATAAAATTGTAATATGTAATTTTTTATTGTATTCTATTCTATAATTGGCGTTGTAAAATCCTGAGAAGTTTACCGTGGTTAAATAAAGTTCACTTACTCATTCACACAGCGTTCCATCGCATTCAATGCCGCAGCCTAACTCACTTCGCCATCTGGCTTGAATAAAAGGTAAAGTTCAGAATCATCCGCATTTTCATGAACATTCGGAAAATAATTCACATAATTTCCAGTTGCAGCCACAATTGTGAAAACAAGCTGCTTTCTCAAGTCCTAGGTTTTCTAAAGCCGTATCTAATCTAAGACAGATGAAGTATGGCCCTGACGCTTCCACTTTCTTCTTGGAATTTCTTTCTTCTTCTCTCTCCATTTCCTTCTCCGAAATGTCGCTCTCACTTTCTTCCTGAAAAACAACCCATTCTTCTTCACATTCCAATTTATCTTTATCTTGCCATCCATCTTTACCTTCACTTTTTTCATCCTTACATTCAGCCTCAGAACGCTCAGATGTAGTTTCATTCTCATCCTCCATTTCCTGTTCAGACTCAGATTCGTCTTCATAAAACAGCAAGAAGGACTCGCTGACTCGTGCTGTTCTGGTAAGAGAAGCTCATCCACTTCGCAAACCCCATAGGCAAACACCTGTTTCTGGTTATTCTTGTCATGAAAGAAACGAGAGAAGCTGAGTCACCGCCGTCCAAGAATGGACCACTACATCCCTTAACGGCGAATGCATCCTGGAATAATGGCTCCTGTTCTTGGCTGTAACTAAAATCACAAGGAACAATATAGCCACGGGTTAACGCCGACGAAAAACCGGTTTTCTCCACTTCCACTGGATTACTATCACTCTCATACAATTCATCCCATATACTATCCCAATCAAGTTGCATCCGCTATTTTGCAATTAATTTTAATGCCATCCAAAGTCAAAGTCATTACCTATCCTAAGTCAAAGTACGTTAAAAAAAAACCCGAGTCGAGCGGCCTGTTGGAAGAGAAACTTAAATGTATACACCTGAAATACCAACACATTGTTTCAATTATTAGGCCCACTGTGAAATGGTCCAACCTCACTCCAGCTGACATCTCTGCAGTAAAGACCCTACGAACTAAAGACAATGTGTACCTCCCTAGTGATAAGAGCACAGAATTCTGTGTTATTGATGTAACCAGATATAATATCGCGGCTGAAAACCATCTTGCATGCAAGATCCCAATACCTACAAAAACATCCCACGGATGACTGCTACCACTGTAGAAAAGAAATTAATAAGACATGAAAGGATATATGTAAGAAGAGAAATATCCCTAAGCGGATGAAAAACAGTTTCGTATCCTCGAACACGGACTTGCCATGGTACTACCAGTTGATAAAAATACATAAGATCAACCAAGGAATTAAGATTCGTCCCATAGCCTGGAACAACAATGGTCCAACCAAAAGAATTTCACGGTTACTATTTTACATTTCGAAGCCTAAGCTTAGAGAAGTACCAGCACACTTGGAAAATAGTATGTCGCTATCAATAGAATCCAATCGTTGGACGTGGCAACAAACAACGAATTCCGTATCCTTTCAGCCTAGATGTAGTGTCGTTATACACCTGAATAAGACAGACAATTCCCATTCAGAAAGCTATAAAGAACAATGTAGAACGACTGAAGACTAATACCACATATTGCTCTCTTACCACCGACGACCAGTAAAGAACCTCTTGACAGTCGTTCTACAAAATTCCTATTTGACGTTCCGGTCGAATATATACCTCCAGCACGAGGGTCTACCTATGGGTTCTAGTCTATCAGGACTGTTGGCGATAGTATTCACGGACACGATCGAGAGAAAAGCCTTAACTGGATGTCAACCAATCGGCTTGTAGAAACGGTATGTGGACGAATCTTACTCGCAAGCTAAAGACGAATAAAGTGCTGAAGAATTTTACATCTACATGAACCAGCACCCGGACTAAATTAATTTTATTATTAATTATTATTTATTAAATTAAATTTATCATTAATTTATTTTTTGATTAATTTTATTATTAAATTAGAAATGGAGAAACCCACCCGAATTGAAGATGGTTGGTCTCTATCCTTACTAACAAACTCATCAGACCATGTTCTTTTGTATTTCTTCGGTTTTTAACTTCTCTGTAATAACCTTCAATCTAAAAGCGGACGGTGGTATTTGATTTCTCCTGGGGAAATGCGGGGTTGAAGATTATTACGGAAAAATAAAGACCGGGTACCAGGACAACCAGGTTATTACGAAAAAGTAATAACCGGGTACCAGGTTATTACGACAAAAGTGGGTCACTAGAAATTTGAAAATATTATAGGGGGAGCCGGGGAGGGGGGGTCAAGCATTTTTGGTTGAGTCAGATTATTAATTTACCCACCCACCCTCCTCGATAAATAATGATGGCTCCCGTATTCACATTTGCCACCATTTCTTTAAACTGTATTGTGAAAAATATAATTATGATGAAAGATTGAGTTTCAAAACTCAACTGAAGATTAAGTTTTTGCTTGTAGAAATCCCTGCTTACATAATAATATAATTGAGTCCCAATTTCATTTTGTACCTCCAAATTAACCATTCTAAAGTTGATGAGAGGACTGGGGACGAGTGTTAAAAAGTGCCCAAATTAAAATGAACCAAATCACTAAAAAGACGACCTCAAAATTAGTAAGCATGCAAAGTTTGAAGACATTTACATGAATATGCTTCGAATAATAAGCTTTCGAAAACCGCGATATTTACCATGAAATGTACTGTAATTTTTGTTTTTGGGGACGCCCGTCCCAATGGGACCGAGGATGCAATTTTACAACTTTCGAAAGCTTATTATTCGAAGGGTTTTCATGTAAACGTCTTCAAACTTTGTATACTTACTAATTTTAAGGTGGTCTAAAAATAGTGATTCGGTGCATTTCTTAATTTGGGCACTTTTAACACCCGTCACCAGTCCACTCATCAACTTCGGAATGGCTATATGATAAAAAAAGTAAAATTCTTTGCTACTCTGCACAAGAAAGTTTGGATTTAAGATTTTGAGTTTTGTAGCAGTTTGTTTGAAGGTGTCTTCACCTTGCAAAACTATAATTAATACAATATCTGAAATATATAAGAAAGTTTGCATATAATAAGCATGTATTTTGAAAATAATTCCAGGCTTACTATTTCAGTAAATTCAACAACATAGTCGGAGACTCGGGATTGAAATGAATGCAGAACGTTGTCGTTTACAGAACAAAATCATTCATAAATATGCGCTAGGAAACAAAATAGACCTACAGAAACATTGTGTTTTAATAGTTTTAAATTTTTGCTGCCATTTTTGCTTGTACAAATTTTTTATCAATAATTTGGAATACAGTACCGCTCAGAATTAACCTAACACTGCGGTTGCGGTCGTTTTGCGGTTAGCGTGCGGTTATCGGGCGGTTAACGTGCGGTTAACGTGCGGTTAACGTGCGGTTAACGGGCGGTTAACGGGCGGTTATCGGGCGGTTATCGGGCGGTTTTTTTGCGGTTTAGCCCACGCATCGACAAAAAGCTAACCGCGGTTTTAATATGCATTCTGATTCCGAGGATTTCCGACCAAAAGCAGTAAAATATTCGCGGTATAGCATGTCTTCAATAATAAAATGCTAACTCGGGCTATAATATAGCAGCTAAGAGAAAGCTTAAAGGCTGTGGTGTCAGCTTCAATTATAATAAGGGCTACAGCAGATTGTCGATTATCATAAAGTTTTATAATAAAGGATAGATTGTCAGTTATAATAAAGTTTTATAATGAAGGCTCCAGGTTATAACGTGTGTGCCTAAAAGGCCGAGATTTTATTTACCTTTTATAGGTACACGCGTTATAACCTTTAGCCTTTATTATTTTAAAGAGTTAAGTTAATTTAAGTTGATGCGCGCGCCAAATTCTTACTTATTCTAAAACATCTATTTAAACTGTAATAAACAAGAAGATCGAGACCTACATATTTGCCTTTACCCTTCGTTTAAACTCTTAGTTATTCCAACAACTGAAGTATTTGTCGAAAGTAAGGAGACAATTCGCTCCCTGGCATAAAGCAACAGCCTCCCCATGCCTCAATGTTTACAAAATATGTCAATATTTATAACTTAAGCAAACACGGAGTTTTTATAACGACCCCTTCGGAAATACACGAATATTTACGAATGCTGACGAGTATATACGAAGCTTGCGGATCGGTTCGGTTCGGTTGCGGTCAAACCTCGGTTAAACCTCACGGTCACCCCGGTTTAACCTCAAAATTACCGCGGTATAACCTCGGTCAAACCTTTAAATAACCGCGGTCACACCGCGGTCAAACCGAGGTTCAACCGAGGTTAAACCGCGGTTTTTGTTAGGTTAATTCTGAGCGGTACTGTATATGAAAGTTGCATGCCATATATGGCATGCAACAAAAACAAGAAAGTGAAATATGTCGCCAAAAAATTTTTCGGTCAGTGTAGCATTTTAGGGGTAAAAAAAATTTTGCACTTTAAAGCATAATAGGTCAACTTTATAGTATTCAAGTTCGTAAAATGTCGCAATTTTGAAATTAGTCCAGTAAACTTGACAATAGTTTTACATATAGAATCAATATATTTTTCCACGTTAAATTTTCATCAATTAGTACACCCAAAAATTTTTCAAGAGACCTTTTGGATCAATTCATTTCTTATTTTTATTGTAATATTATGAGATTCCAATTTTTTATTTTTTGATTTGAAAAAAATTAATTTCGTTTTAGAAGCGTTAATTGATAATTTATTAGCATTAAGCCAATTCATAATTTTATTAATTTCTTCTTGCATTATATTCGTTAAAGAGGTTAAGCAAGAATTTGAATAAAAAGCATTTGTGTCATCTGCATACAAGACAAATGATATAATATTACTACAATTTTCAATATCATTGATATATAACAAAAAGAGCAAAGGTGCAAGTATTGATCCTTGAGGAACACCAGTAGTAATAGTCATTTCTGATGAATTGTATTCTTTATATTTTACTATTTGTTTTCTTTCTTTCAAATAAGTTTTAAACCATTCAATGCATAATCCTCTTATACAATAATGTTCTAACTTTTTTTAAAAGAATTTCATGGTTCACTGTGTCAAATGCTTTTGAGAGATCAAAAAAATTCCAATCGTGTATTTGCCTTCATCTATTGCTTTGGAAATTTTGTCAGTAATTTCAATAATTGCATGTTCTGTTGATCTATTTTTCCTAAATCCGTATTGGTGTTTCGACAAGATTTCATTTGCGTCAATAAATTTTATCAATCTTTGATACATTACTTTTTCTTAATTGACATACTAGAGATAGCTTCACGAATTATTCTCATTAGTGAGCAAGCGAAGGCATACAAAAGATACCCAAATATGTACGAATAATTATTTTGTTGATCCTCGCTGGCATGTCATTTAGATAAATATATATCGTCCGAATGTCGTAAGTCGTACATTAAACGTTGTACTATTTACTGTATAAACTGCTGACAATTTTGTCGTCGATACGGCTTCCACTATTGGCACACTCGTGATTTCGAAGTAATAAATACATGCTCATTCATTCAGTTAATAAAATTTTAGACGTATTCGGTATTCCAAATCCCAATATAACTGACCGTATTTTAATAGCTTCAAATATTCAGAACATTGTTTTTTCAGTAACACATAGTCTACAGGGTTCGCCAATTAATTGAGAAAATCACTTTAAAAATAACTTTTAAGCCATTCAATGCATAATCCTCTTATACCATAATGTTCTAACTTTTTTTAAAAGAATTTCATGGTTCACTGTGTCAACAAATACTTTTGAGAGATCAAGGAAAATTCCAATCGTGTATTTGCCTTCATCTATTGCTTTGGAAATTTTGTCAGTAATTGCAATAATTGCATGTTCTGTTGATCTATTTTTCCTAAATCCGTATTGGTGTTTCGACAAGATTTCATTTGCGCCAATAAATTTTATCAATCTTTGATACATTACTTTTTCTTAATTGACATACTAGAGATAGCTTCACGAATTATTCTCATTAGTGAGCAAGCGAAGGCATACAAAAGATACCCAAATATGTACGAATAATTATTTTGTTGATCCTCGCTGGCATGTCATTTAGATAAATATATATCGTCCGAATGTCGTAAGTCGTACATTAAACGTTGTACTATTTACTGTATAAACTGCTGACAATTTTGTCGTCGATACGGCTTCCACTATTGGCACAATCGTGATTTCGAAGTAATAAATACATGCTCATTCATTCAGTTAATAAAATTTTAGACGTATTCGGTATTCCAAATTCCAATATAACTGACCGAATTTTAATAGCTTCAAATATTCAGAACATTGTTCTTTTAGTCACACATAGTCTACAGGGTTCGCCAATTAGTTGAGAAAAAATGATGTGCAAACTTTTTTTTTAAAATGTGGCTCTAAATGCTTATAAATTAGGTTCATGATTATCTTAGCTACTCAGTCAAACATCTACTCAAACAAATTGCAATAATTTAATGATTTCAAAACTTTTTAAACATTGTTTGCAATCTTTGATATACAAACCCAACACATAACATCAATGTGTTTGTCTGTCATGGTGGCTAAAATTTGACACCTTCCATGTGCTTCCATGCAGTCTGCAAACATGCTGCCAGTGTGCATGCAAAAGCACTTGTTTATAAATTATAAGACAACAGATTGGCTTTGTTTAAATCTATAAATATGGATGGTGTTCATTAATTTAATAGTCCCAGTCAGAAAAGTGATGTGCAGTATTCACAATTTGGTCCAAAACGATGTGCAAATTGCACATTGGACACTGTTAATTTGAACCCTGCCACTCATTACCCTCCTGGGAAATTGACGTTCCCAAATTGAAATTGACGACGTTTGTGTAGTTTTGAACGGCTTGGTGCCCAACCCCCCCGGACTGACTGACAAATGCTCCAACTCCTGAATCCCCAAAGAAGCCAGAGTTACCCATGGCGTTCGCCTGGGTTCCACCGTAGCCAGTACTCGCTGTCACCGAACCGATATTACCGAAGCTGTGGGTCGCCCCACCAAAGCCCCCGGTGTTAAAAGCACTGGCACTCGGTACGGCGTTGAATCCTGCAGCCGCCGCGTTTCTGTCAGAGTTATTTCCAGAACCTGAAAAGAGAAGAGATAAACGGTTATGGAAAATTTTCCACAGAAAGAACATTTTATAAAATGTGATTGGCCGGAAAAAATTTTGAAGTTGAAAATTTTAAACTTTTTTTGGAAACATTTCTGTCCGTGGAAATTTTTCTTGAGTGGAAATGTGCCTTAAACAATGTGAAAAGTCACTTTTCAAAGTTGTAACTGTAAATTCACCATTATACATTACAAACAACTGCAGTGATAAAATGTGGCATTTTGCAGTGCGTGCAATCGCAGACTTGGAAGAGACAGTGCCCAAAATGGCGGATAAACCGAGCGTGAAAATTGAAAAGGCTTCGCAAGCCTTCGGCGGATAAACCGAGCGTGAAAAAGGCTTCGCAAGAACAAATTCGCATAGTGGAAGACCGGCTGAATATTACTACAGATGTATTATGTAAATATTTCAATTCGAACCAATTCAATTAACTATTCCTTACTGAGATTTCTATATTGCCATCTCTGGTAGTTGTTTACACTCCACGTAAATTTATTAATAAAACTTTGCCAGTGAAAAACCACGTAAAGTCAAAACACTACAGTTCACATAATAAAGGTTTATCTTTATAATTATATCTCCTTGTATTTTTCAGGTAGTTTCATCGCTATCAATCCAAAGCTTTCTTATTATTGCCACTACCTACACTGGCACAGACACTTCAAGATTATCTCTTTATAATTATTATATCATCTTTAACATCAAATTTAACAAGTTTAACAATCTTTCACCCTACCGCTTCGCATGCCACCATATCTTCCTCGGCCACCTCCTCGATATCTGAAATAAAATAATAAATTGCGTTCATACTGTTCAAAAGAAAGCGATGTCACATTTACATGAGACCAGGATGAACTCAAAACCAGATAATTTCGGTTCGGTCACAATTTAAGTCTCAACAAAATCACAAAAACCAACTTGCAAGCTTGATGCGAGTGTTTGTATCTAATAAAACAAAATGTCGAGCATTGTGATGAAATCCAGCTTGCAAGTTGACTCTTGCAATGAATGGAAAAGAAGCTAGAGAGTTGTCTCCGGTCTCGTTCTTTCGCGGATCCTGCTAATAAATCGGGATTGACCCACTGTTTCCTTTAACGAGCGTAAAAGTATTCAATGTACTACAAGCACACACCTTCGTTCAAAGCCGCTAGGTCGTCCGCTGAAACCGGGGCCTCCACTAACGGAAGATTCTCTTTCATAAGGTCCACCCCTGGTCCGTGGTCGTGACATCGACGCCGATCGCGAGCTTGCTTCTTGTACGGAAGTACGTGGCTTCTCATCTGCAACTGAAGTTAGGCTTGGATCAAATGTAGCTCTTGTCATACACCGACTTGTTTAATGGGCTATTACATTTAAAAAGTAACCCCTCCCTCTGTTGAGGACCTCTGCTTTTGGAGATTTTTACCCCTCTGGGGCCGGTTGTTCAATAGGCGATCAGCTTAACCCTAGGTTATCCTAAAATTCAAAGCAAACTTCCAAACAGCTTGTTCATAAATTTAGAAATATTTCTTCAGAAATCTTGTCTGGATCGATAAGAGTTTACTTCTCTGAAGTTTTGAAATAAACAGACGTGCAGAAATACACAAACTAAAACAGCAGGTTAAAGCGCTAACCCACCTCTGAACAACCGCGGCCCCTGGAATGAATAAAAATCTGTGCAATTGACCCCTCTGGAAGAGACTTGAAACCCCTCTGGAAGAGCATTTTTAACATAGAGATTATAAATAACACTAGAGGGGGTATCGTAATCTTAATTCAGTCAAAGAAAGGGAACGTGGCTAATGGGGGGGGGGCAAAATTAAAATGCTAAAATAAGAGAGAGTTTGAGCCAAATCTTTAAATTCTTGTTTATGACAGTTAAGTAGTCCCGTTTTGATTTTTACCAAGCATTTTTACCTCAATTTTGTCTATAACACATTTTTGAGAGCACTCCAAAATAATGATGATGTCAGCAATTTTGATCTTTTCAAGAGGAAATTCGTCGTTTGAATTCAAAATTTTGGGGGAATGTTTGTAGTAATGACATTCAAAACATATAAAACATCCAGTTTGGTGACTTGTTTTAATTTTTTCTGGTTTCAAGTGTAACCCAAGAATTGTGTGGTGTTTATCCGTGATTTCAATTTGCCCCCATTACCGCGCTCCCAAATTTCATCCTCGATGCTCCCTCTAGTGTTATTTATAATTTCTATGATTTTTAACCCCTCTGAAAACAGTATTTTTACTCGCTGGGGCACGACGAGTATAGGTTTCGGCAAGCATTTTTGGTGGATGTCAGATGTCAGATTTCCGATCGTCGTTGATAGCCACAAAATAGAATATTAATGAGCTGCTTAATATTCCCCCCAATTATCCATAAGGTTCCTGCCAATTTTACCCAAATATCCATAAATAGCCCTCCATTTTGAGGAAAATCGGGAAAATTGAACAATTTTACAATGGAATTTCGCATGGAAACAGCAACCTTCGCAAATCGCAAGTTTATAAAAGATTATACGTTTGACTGCGCTGCTTTATATTTTGAGAAGAAAGCGACACCGTTCGATTCAGCGTAGGAAATTAATTGTACTTACAAGTGTATTACTATTAAACACCAGTATTCTAGCGATTTATAGCCTTTGAAAATGAAGCGAAATTGTATTGTTTGACAAATCGCTCGCAGTACGTATAATGATCACAAATCACTCGCACTAACGTTTATCCACAAGTTTGTCCTGGTATTTGTAATGCCTAATGGCCCAATAAGGATAAAAATACCACCGTTCGATTCAGCGTCAGAAATTGTACTTACGGATGTCAAATGTGTTACTAAGCACCAGTATTCTAGCGATTTATGGCCTTTGAATTGAAAACCAAGCGAAATTGTATTTGTTGACAATGAAATCGCTCACAAGTACGTATTATTGTCAAATCACTCGCAGTACGTTTCATAGTGTATTTGTATAAATGCCTAATGGCGCAATAAGGATAAAAATACTAGCGTTCGATTCAGCGTTAGAAATTGTACTAATTACGGATGTCAAATGTATTACTAAACAGTGTTCTAGCGATTTATGGCCTTTGTCTTTGAAAGCCAAGCGAAATTGTATTGTTGCCAATCGCTCAAAATTATTAAACTAATTATAAAAAAATGCAGTACATTTGATCCTAATCGATAACTTTGGTATCATTGGTTTTCTCTTTTTCGGCCGAATACCAGTGGATTCGTCTCACTTCTCGCTTCATTTTGATAGTATTTTGAGCCCAAAAGCCCCCAAATATTTTATTTTGAACGTTTTAAAGCGCAGTTTAATCCTAGACCAACTGGCGGCTGACAGTTTTGAAGAAGAATGTAGCGTACTAAATATAACTTTACTTGTAGGGCCTACCGCATTTTAGTACTGTGTTAATAAGCCTTTCGCGCTCGTATTCGACTTTTCCGCTTAGCTCGGGGAAAACCTTAAATCTTAATTGAAAGAGCTGTGTACTGTATGTATCATGTACATTGTACAGTAATGTGCGTAGTTGTATAGCCCCAGCGAGTTAACGCTCCGTAGAGCGTCTTGTTCACAATACCCTGGGAAAAATAGTCCCAGTCTGGTTTTTTTGCACATCATTTGGAAAAGTGATGTGCAGTTTTCACTATTTGGTCCAAAACGATGTGCAAATTGCACATTGCCAATTCGAACCCTGCACATAGTACAAGTATTATTTACATTCAATGCCAATGGTAGTATTTTATTCGGCTTTATATTTGTATGTGTATTGATTATGACTCTTAATCTATTATCTGGAGAATTCTATATTTTTTCCGAGTAATATATTGTGCGGCTTGCTATAAATTCTTCGTATTATTGTTTTATATACAGTACATTATTACATTTCTTCGTTGTACAATGTACACGCCTTGCGTGACTGTCAATTTGACAGTTGACAGTTTATTTATCGCAGTCACAGAGTAGAGACATACCTAGCCATATTTATAGTTGTAGCTTTATACTTTTATGCAAATAGTTACCATAATGATTGGGCGAAATAAATAAATAAAAAATCATCCAGGATAAAACAACCCTCACTCTGTAGCAAGCCGCCATCTTTGTTTTACGGCCTGTTCGCAGGCATGCAGCCCTAATTAGTCGACCTGAGTGTTTAACGCACACTCGATAGCATAGTATCTAGCGCTCCGCGCAGATACAAAAACTATCAGCTACCTGAAAGTTTAAAAGCCGGCTTTTCCTCTTTAATAATCATAAAACTGAACAAACAATGCAAAGAATGCACGAAACAGCACGATTGCACGAACTACGAAGGCAAAATTTTCCATGTGGAACGCCATATATGGTCACGAGTTCCATATACGGATAAAATGAGCCCGCAAAGGGTGTTGAATACACATTCCAGCGGAAAAAGGTGTTGAACACAATTTTTTCTCCCATATCTGAGATTAGGATGTTCCCAGCTCGCTCGCTGGTCGCAACAAGATTTAGCACTACGTAAAATGAAATATAACCTCCATCAAATGGCCCTCTATACAGCGTTCCCTCCTTTACCAAGCGCCCTGCCCTAAACGTGCAAGAAATTCTCTTAAAGTTTTTTAAAACAAAAAATTCGAATTTTTGCTTAAAACATCACTTTGTATGTTCATTGTAGATTTGTAGTTCCATACCTACTATTTCAAGAGGATTAAGATCACGTGATCTCTTAGTGCAAGTCGCCTATTTTTAATTGGCCCCTTTTATTTTATTAATGTATCTAACCATCTGTATTCATACTCACGGATCGTCACCATCTGACTACAGATGGTACAGTCAGATGGTACATATCGTGACATGTTATACTTAAGTGCCTAACCATCTGTAATCATACTCACCGATTGTCACCATCCTGTACGGTTTGTTCAATCTAATACCGCATCCATGACAAACAGACAACTTCTCCCATTTTTCAATCTCTTCAACAACATCATCCCTTTGCATGGTATCTTCAAGAATCTTCTTAAGAGCCCCCACATTATTATTTTCTCGATTTCTTGATGCCCACTTATTGAGTACTTCTTCGGCAGTCCCCACTCCTCCCCTTTCTCCATATTTTGTTTTAATATATGCAGCCGTTATCTGGTCGAAGCCACCTAAAGCGTTCATAAGTGGTACCTTGCTACGATCAGCTAAGTCGAGTAGAATGCAAATTTGGTGAATACTATTATTTTCGATTTTACCAATGGGCCATTTGTCCCGGTAACCTGAAAGCGGTTTTTCTTTATCTCTGAAACACAGGATCTACACATAGGGATTTCTTTCGATGACATCTTGCTTTCCTGTATTGGTTTTTGTGAACCAATTGTGTCTATAATAAAACACAAGATAGAATTTTCTTCAGAAATTTTTTATTTCAAAAGGTTGGTAAACCCTGAAACATTGTTTCCTAACCATGTTTCCCGAAAGTGAGCAAACCAGGAAACATTGTCTCCAATATACAGCCTGCTTCTCGGAAGTGGACAAACAAGAAACAATTGTTTCTGCTAAAAAAATCACATGGAGAAACAAAATATGTTTCTGAATTTATTGGGAAATACTTTTGATTTGTGAGAACAGTTTCCAAATCTGGCCAATATTAACATTCAAGAAAACTTCCAGATTTTCAATTTGCTTCTTAATAAACATAACTATATGATGGCACGTGTAGTTGACCTACTATTGCAAGAGCCGGAATAACCAGAGGAGAAAAATAAGCCGCGGATCGGACCGGGTCGGAATAAAACAAAATCCGCGCATGCGCCATCAGTAGAAATGTTTGGTTCTGATTCATCCGGCGACGTTGCTGGCCGGATAATAAAAACTTTTTTTGGTGCGGTCCGCGGATTAAACTTGTCGACCAATCAAAATGCCGTATTATCTCATATAAATTAAACTAATTAAATAAGACCTGCATAAAATTTACAAAATGGAGGATGTGAGACTGGAATGAGCTCCATTTTTTCTTTTTCCGATCATTCCACTTGTTCTTTTACTGTAAACATCCGATCAGCTGCTTATTTTGCGGAGTGGAAATTAGCCTTTAAGTTTGTTTATACCCATTACAAAAACTGTAACATTCCATACATCTATTATACTTGGAGTTACTATCGCAAGGAAAATGCTGCCAATATGTACATGCACGATGTACCTGTACTACAACCAAAAAGTGTCTTTTTCACTGTATGTATGATTTATTGTCTTGCACATTGTCCTACGTCAATTATCTCGTATCATTGTATCTCACATCTCATTTTATAAAAAGTGCACTATAAAGTATAAACTCGGTGGTCACGTGTGTATAAGCGTGGAACGTGTATCCTATGGTGTACCATGGGTTAACTGTAAACTAAAGGTTGTTCAAGCAACAATAATCTTCTTGAACTACAAGATCTTCTCTACAACATTTGAGTTCTGTTAACCAGCATTTTAACTTTCGTTTAGCCTAGTGACTTATTTCAATACATCAAAATCATCGCGCCTTCCGTCATGTAAACAGCCTCTAAGGGCTAAGACGCCTGTTCAGGAGGTTTATTTGAATAATGCAAATCATTAAAAAATTGCATAGCATAACCTGTTGCCATGGCTAAATTCGCCACTGAAAGTATTATAATTATATATACAAAAGCAAAAAATTATAAGCACTGAAAGTATTCATATAAAACCGCCCATGCCAAGAAAGTAGAATTAGATTTGTGCAAGGTGTTTGATATTCAAATTGCACTTTTCCTATGCAGGTTTATTAGCATAGCATGACCATTGCCATGGCTAGCTTGCCACTGAATACTGTACATCTAACCACAAAATCTTACTTACAACAATATATTCTTGTGAACAGAGCAATAACACTTAGCTTGTTTAAGCGAACCAGCCCGGGTCGTTGCGTTTGTATGGAAAATTCCCTAGCCTGGGCACCCTAGATCTCGGGTCAGTCGAGGCGGGATCTCGCTTCGGCTGGCCAGTTCGGTTCCCATAATACCCATATAAATGCCAAATGAAATGTCATATGACATAATAACAAAAGCAAGATTTCACCCAAACCAGGCCAGCTTGGGTACCTGGGCTGGCTTGCCCGATATCTCATAAGGGCATTTGACGTATGTTTTAATCTGATCGTGCAGCCAAACACATCTCCAATTACACAGTACAACCCAAGTTGTAAGCACGTTGCATGCAACAGTTTGGAACAGTTAAAGTAACAGTTAAGGTAAACAATCCGAGGAAGGAATAAAAGTGTCTGCATGATCTTGTGCCAAAATATCTTAGTGAATATTCTATTAGAAATAGTAGCATTCATCTACATAATATCAGAAGGAGAAATGATACTCATCTCCCCAAACCTAAGTTAAGCCTTGGGAAACATACTTTTAGATACTCTAGCTGGAACACTTAATTCTTTACCACCAAGAATTAAAGCATCTATACTGCGTTGTTATCTTTCAAGAACCTTATTAGACTGGATGACTTTTGATTGTTATTGTGTTTATTGATTGCTGTAAATGTATGTTTTGTTGTACAGGGCCCCTCTGGATACCAGCTTCGGCTGAATGGGCTACTCTGTCAAAATAAAGTCTTTACTACTACTACAATTATCTTTCTCATCGGCCAGATTATAATAGTTTTTACCCGTAAACCACATTTGAATCATAGATATTCTCTATATATTATCACTCTGCTTAATTTCAGTTGTATTTAAACGGTTGAAAAAGATCGTGACTCAATCTTTACGACCGTTACGACCATATGGAAACCAGGCTTCGGGGAAAATTTGTGTAGTGTAAATCGGCCTTCAGACAGATAATGCATCACCTAAAATTTTAGTTATACACTTGACTTTAGTTAGCTTAATTCACATAAAATTGAAAAATCTTTATTGGACGTCTACTGATTGTCCATTCTTAGCAGGATAAAAGCAGAAACAAAGCAAAAAACAACAGCTAAAGTCTCATTGCCCAACATGCTGAATTGTTTACTTTCCAGGTTGGAAAACTTATATCAAATTCCCTATGCGTATAGCTGCGAGTAATCTGTATTGGTCAGTTGCGAGCTGCGAGTGGACCTATAATCTGATGCGAGCTACGAGCAAATTTAACCAAAGCAATCAAGCCCTAACAAAACGTTAAATATGTATTTGGGTCTAGAAGACATTCGATATGAAGAACATTCCATCATTGGATATTTGATTTAATTTATCTTTAATATTCAATATTCAAAACGACTGTGAGAAATGGCTGGAGGTGCACTTTCAGGGATGTAATTTTCAAAGTTTTCTGGGAAAGCTTGCCCCGAGACCCCGTAGGAATGTTCATGGTGAATTTATTTTATGTCAAGACAAGTCCTCAATTACATGCAAACGAATTGCTCAGCATTCCCTGTTTGTGTGTGGACTATGGCTTTGTTTGCTTTTTTGGCCTGGTCTTTTCAATGATATACATGTATGATCATATGGTTGTTTTCGACAGAACATTTTTGAAGAGGCAATGTTGTGTTCGGTTACTATTATAGTCTAGGACCGGTATATGAGTTTGTATGCGATTCATTTAGGACAGGTAATCTCAACTGTTTTAGGGTAAAATGACCATGGCGGTCAACATGGCATATGTGCGAAAACCTGAATCCGGGGCGAAAGTCCTGAAAATGACCCCGCCCTGAAACGGCAGTGTCGACATAGCTCTAACTTGCAAAAGGGAAAAGCGATAGCCTTTCTGAAGTGCCTATGGTGTTTAGAAGGGTTGCTTTTAAGGGTGGTCATTGGAAGGAAAAATTTGTCTAAGTATAGTATTTTACCAGAAAATGACTATGCACCACCCCAGGTAAAATGCTGATTGTGCACAAAATAACTAATATGCCTGGCAGAAATTAAATTTTCTTATTTCCTAAAAAAAATTATCATGGGATGAAAAACTATGCTTAGTTCAATATAATTATTGTGGATTTCATAAGGATTGTCATTGTTTTCTTTTAATATAATACATTTTATTTCACTTACCCCCCACGAAAACACGATTTCAGCCATATTTTGTCGTCTTGTTTGCTTTTTATCGCCGAGTCTCGCAAATATCATCCAGTCGTTGTACTTTTACATAATCACAAATGGCTAAAGAGTATTTTACCCAAGTTTCATGAAGTTTTGGAACTCTGCAGTGCATTTCATCTTCGATATTGTGTCCTTCGATATTTCGTCAAATTGTCGCCATTTTAATGGCTCGCCGCTTCTCTGTACGATAAATGCCACTTCTCCGTTTTCATATGTATTTAGATTACAGTATCCAAGAGTACTTCATTGTAGAATAGTCCCAATCGAAAAATTGACAACATTTGTCCCATTTGGGACGAAAACCCCTCCCGTATGGTATACGGGAGGGTTTAAGTTCAAAATAAAAACGCGCAATTTTCGCGACAGGGGGGTGAATATTTTCACAAAACGTTTGTTCGCCACCACAGAAACATAACTATTGTAATTGTAATTGTAATTTTAATTTAATCTTATTTAGAAACGGTAGCTCTTCAGGGCACTTGCGCACCTGTTTTTCAAGAGGCCGTTTGGTTAAAAATATTACATAATATAAATATACAGTACAATACAGATAAGTAGAACTACAGGCATGCATATATAACAATATAAGACGATTAACCCTACCGCCTCCCCCCCCCCCTCCCCCTTACAAACGAATGCACTACTTAAATTTAGGTTAAGTGCATACACTTTAACGCGAGGAATAATGATCAAGAATGGACTTGAATTTCTGACTAGTAATTCCTGAACCTTTAGCCTCAAGAGGCAAATTATTCCAGGCCGAAGAGGCTGTATAGCTTATGCTTTTCTTCAAAAAATTTGTACTTGGTTTGTCGAGGGTGAAATCTCGATTGTTGCTACCGAGGTTATACCGCGAGTTTGTTTTAATATCAAACATATTCATCATACTAATTGGCAGTTCATTATTCCTTACCTTATGCATAAAAAATAGTTTTTTGTGCTTAAGGCGTTCTTTCAAGGGTTGCCAATGTAGTTCTTTTAAAACATCGCGTGATCTTGTTTCGTATGTTCTGCCAGTGATTACACGTGCCGCTCTGTTTTGCAGTTTTTGAAGTTTGTCAATTAAATAAGCACTACAATTATCCCAAACAAGGCTGCAGTAGTCGAAATGTGGTAATATAATGGCATTATATACTTTTTTCAATGTTGTTTTAGGAATTATTTTTTTCATTCGCCGTAACATGCCGATACCTTTTGAAATTTTAGTCTGTATGTTTTCGATTTGCCTTTCCCAAGTAAGATTCTCATATATAACAACGCCTAGAGTTTTAGAATAGCTTACTCGTTTAATTGTTGTTTCGCCTACGTGGATTTCCGGCTCATTTAATACTTTAGATAATCTTTGTCTAGACCCAATTACCATATATTCGGTCTTTTCTTTATTCAGAGTAAG